TGAGGTATTGCTCAAGTGCTTCTCAAAGTCCGAATAGAGGGTGATGATGATGACAAGGCTAGAAGTGAAGAACAACGAATGTAGATGCATGAATCAAAATTGAAAAAACTAAGGAAATGCAATAAGTTAAAATCGCGTGTGCATTTCTGCGATCCGGCTCGAATCCGGCTCTAATGCTATAGAAATACTTCAAACTAACGAGTGGGACGCTTAGGCCGTTTTTATTGTCATGTTCTGTGGGAATGCGCGGCCTCTGAGGGATATTGCAGAAGCACCACAGTTGCTCTTGAGTTCTAGCCCTCGTCATCATCTTCGTTCTTATTTTGCAGCACCTAAAATGTTATCCGCATAAAGAAATTGCGTTGTACTTGTATTCCAAAGCGCAATTACAGGACTTGGCAAAAAGCCAAGAGAGCTGCACGCGACCGCGCCGCGCGGACGGTGTTAGTAAAAACGTGAGTTTGCGAAACGGGCGGTAGCAAGGAATTACGACTTTCCCACGGCCCCGTACTCTGACCCCGTGCAGTTTTGGGCGGGGGGACCACGACACATCGACAGCTGGGGGGCTGATAGTCTCATACACCCTCAATGTGTTTGAGCGTACCATGTGTCTTTAAGTCATGATGGTCGCTTTACTCATTCCAAAGGTCTCTGTGCTATCTATGAGCACATCTAACATTTCACACAATGCCTGAAGAGCTTGGTTGTTTTGAACGTTTATATAAAGCCAGTAGCCGTCGAACGACTTCACTACGCGACCTGTTTTAAGGCGTGAATTAGTCGGATTTTCAAGGAATCTGGAGGTGTTGGTCAGGAGAGATGGTAATTTGGTCAATATCTGGCTCACAATACAATTGAGGAACCGTGAAATTCACTCATTTGATGACGCAACTGATAATCGGTACTATCTAGAAAATTGAAGAGAACTGGAGAAAATAGAAAAGTTGTAGAGAGATCAACTTGTCACTCTTGAGGGCGCTGTTTGTCGACGGGGGGCATTTTGTACTATCATTGCTTCCCTAGTTCCGGTTTACAAATCTCACTCTGGTAAAACTTGTGAACTCTTGTGAAGCTGAAGTAAGATCGTCTAGCCACTATCCTAAAACGTGTCAACTCGAGAAACGGCTACCTAGATGGGTCGACACATCTATGGAAAGCAAAATGCCCATCCCCCTGCCCTGTCGACAAACTGCGCCACTCAAGCCATGTTTAGGCCTCAGGACGGCGACATAGTCGGAACGTCAGGGCATCAGTAGATAGTTCCACCTACCAATCTCGTTGTTGGCACTATAAAAAAAACAATATCAACGATATGCCTAGGACTGGTTTTGAAATATTCCGTTGTATCTTAAGTGCGGTGATCATGAAAAAACAATATGTATTACATTCGACGTTAATGAAATGCAATACTAGGCATGCCGGCGTCTTCTTCCAGAAATGACTTGGAGGAGGATTGAGGGTGGGTCAATGTTAATCTGTTCCTCTATTTGGCCTTAGGCTCAATCCTCCTTCTGTGTGGAATGCGTCAGACTCCTAGTAGCACTCTGCGAGAATCCGCGTAATGTTGAGAGCGACTAACCCACAAACCAACGCCTAAATGACACAAACGCTCACAATAGCGGTGATTGGTAAGAAACACTGTCATCGGCGACACTCATATCGACGACGCTTTCTGAACGCGCTCAGCCACTCAGTCTCGATCCACCGTTCTCTCCAGCACAGAATATCAATGCACAAGCATTGTGCAAAGTCGTTGGAATCAGAGATTACTGCGCTCCGAGCACCGCCTCGATAACAATGGGAAACCGCCACAGTAACCAGAGACCACTTCCATCTGTACTATTCACACGTATGCTCTACGAAGAAATGGATCCCTTGGCAGAAGGGGACGAGAGGGAAAATTTCGGTTCTGACTCAGATTCGGCTGTTTCGCTGCAGCAATTTGACAGACTAGCTAATTTGTTGTCATGTAACGGTCACTTGATCGCGGAATCACAGAGCTCCACACAGCAGATACAATGGTTTTTCGTCTCGCAACCGAGAGCGAGATTCTGTCCCAATGCAGGCGCCTAAACGTTTGACTGGTTCAGGGCCAGTCTATGTGTCTTAGCGGAGAATTTCCTAGTAGAATAAGACTAGACAATTCGGATTAACCTGTCTTCTACAGTCCGCTGAAGACAAACTTGCTCCTCAACATCTCCAGACACTTTCAAGATAACACCGATTATCAGCTGCGTGGGAGGATCAACTGAACGGATTTCGTGGTTTCTCAGCTGCACTGTAGCGATATTGACCAAATTACCATTTCTCCTGACGAACACCTCCAGATTCCTTGAAAATCTGAGTAATTTACGCCTAGAAACAGGTCACGTGAGGTCATTGGACGTCACCTGGCCTTATACAGATGTTCAAAACGTCCAAGCTCTTCATACATTGTGTGAAATGTTGGATGTGCACATGGAGACTTTCGGGCTGAATAAAGCGTCCACCATGAGAAGGAATGCTCGGGGTGCAATATGTTTAAGTGGTCAGGTACGTATTAATGCCAAACTAGAGGGTTAGTTGTGGGTAGCACTGGTACTCGCGATCTGCGTTATGAGCAGAATAGAAGAACCAGCACTGGACGCTTGCCCTTAATGTACTGCAGATATATAGATGACTGCTTCATTGTGACATCGACACAATCCGAAATGGATGAGTGCTTCCGACTAATGAATGAGCAGTCCCAGTACATTAGGCTCACTCGCGAAGTACCATGCGATGGTTGGCTTCCCTTTTTAACACCAAAGGGAAAGTGTCCGATGGCATGGTCAGTGTGAAGTGGCACAGAAAAGCAATTTCAAAAAGCACTTCTATACATTTCACGTCTGCTCGTCCTTCCGCCACGAAATGCGCAGTCATTACGAACACATTCAGAACGGCTGAAAGCGCATGCACGGGGCGGTACAGGGCTAAGGATACATGCAACTCGCTTCTAAGATAGTGCTGCAAACGGCTATGCTGCACCGGCGGATGACGAACTGCAGATATATAGATGACTGCTTCATTGTGACATCGACACAATCCGAAATGGATGAGTGCTTCCGACTAATGAATGAGCAGTCCCAGTACATTAGGCTCACTCGCGAAGTACCATGCGATGGTTGGCTTCCCTTTTTAACACCAAAGGGAAAGTGTCCGATGGCATGGTCAGTGTGAAGTGGCACAGAAAAGCAATTTCAAAAAGCACTTCTATACATTTCACGTCTGCTCGTCCTTCCGCCACGAAATGCGCAGTCATTACGAACACATTCAGAACGGCTGAAAGCGCATGCACGGGGCGGTACAGGGCTAAGGATACATGCAACTCGCTTCTAAGATAGTGCTGCAAACGGCTATGCTGCACCTGAAAACCGTAGAAGAATTGAAACTGAGCGACAAGGAGTACCGCGCAAAATTAAGCGTACCGTATACCATGCACATCTGATAGAGCCATTGTAGCAATCCAATGAGTCTTGCTCGTGCACAACTGAACGACGATATTATTTAGTGAGTTTCACTAATAGCAATATCAAGCGCCAAGCCCGTACGAAGCGGGCTCTACGACAGGCACTGCATTAAGATATATGTCCCTATGTATTTACAGGGGATTTTGCCAAAACTGGTGTGATTTATCAAATCTAACTGTCAGAATAACGCGACTCACATTGCACTAGCAGCAGAAGGAGCGCTAAAAATCCGTATCAAGGAGCACCTTGCTGGCAAAAAGCACGTAACTCCCCCCGCCCCCGCGCCCCCCCCTACAAACGCTGCTTAGCACTTAATCGAAGAGCATGGCGGAAAAGGCTTCGATGTGATGTGCAAAATTCCGGCATGTGTAATCGAGATTTTGGCTAGAAGAGCGCTCTAAGTATACTGAGTTTCCGCCAGTAATTCTAGGATGAACAACCGATATGAGTGCCTTACCATCACACATGACCTCTTACAATTTCCTACTACTGGAGGCAATGAGGCGTGCACTACGCTTAAGTATACTTGCTATAGGGGTAGCACAATACGTCTCACTTAGTAGCCACAACTATTTCTGAGAGGCTCGATCCACTTATGCGCTGGTGGACTGGATGTGTTTTTTTCTTCCATTGGCGACTTCCGGTTGCTCTCCTGGTATTTCTTCGGAAACGCAGGGAGTAGGAGAGGCTTGGCGGCGTAGAGAGAACACCGTGAACCTTTAGCCATGTTGAGGCCTCCGAGGACGTCGACCTATCGAAACATAGGGCTTCACATAAACAGTTTCACCTGCCAATCTTGCTGGCACAATAAAAACAAGAACATCAACTCGGAAATATTTCATTTCCCCTAGAGCTTTTTGATTGCTTCCGGTGACTTTCAGTGCTGTACAATGCTTAGTATGCATGGCTGTGTGTACAGTGCTCTATATGCATAGTGGTTCGTGAGCTCACCTGAACTGTTGCTGCCGGTTTGATGAAAGATATGCCTTACGCTAAACGCCTGGGCGGAATCAATAGATCGAGAAGCTTTCCTTACTTGAAGGCAGTTGGCACGATGGTTTCCTACTTAGCCTAAAATGCTAGTAGGGCGCTGTATAGTGGGGAAATGGCGAAAGAACGGAGTGAAACGGTCAAAATCCGAAAAAGCCTCCGTTCTCAGTGACTTGAAAATCGATTTCGGACGAGTTTCCCGTAGGCATCTTGCCAATCACCGCTACCGAAGATACGGCTGCATATGTGTACCCATATATGCATGCAGCATCACGGCCGCTTCATACCAATCCCTTCGCTTCATAATTTGCTTAGCAAATGAATGAATACGAGCGCCAGCCTTGGGGATAATCGTGCCAATTGCCTTTAAGAAGAGCACTGACTTTGACTCCTCCAACATAAAAACGCAAAAAGGATTTTTTAATTTGTCCAGATGTCCGCAACCTCTTGTTTTCTTTCGAATGCGACCAGTTGACAAACCATGCAGTGCTTAAAACATGGAATTAAATTGAGGATTTTCAGATGTTTCGAACCTTGACCCTTTTCGTTACCCTTCTGCCTCTTTGCCACTGCATTTTCGGTATCGGTAGAATGCAGTCAATTGCAGTTAAGGGCAAAGTCGTATGCCATAACGCTCCGGCATCAAATGTCACTGTGAAACTCTACGAGGAGGAAATCTGTAAGTTCATCCACCTGATGATGATTCATTCTGCAGACCAATTTGATAAAGAAATATATAAATAACTCTAACGACCTTGTGTCCTTCGAAAACAGCTGATAGAGGTTTATCTCTGACCATAAACATAAATAAATATTTACAGTTTTCGATACCAAGCTGGATCAATCACGAACGGACTCCGACGGGAAGTTCCGTCTATCAGGATCAAAGCGAGAGATCACCAACATTGATCCAAAAGTCAACATATACCACAAGTGTGGATACAAAGGGGTAAGCCGCTGACACGTGGAATCGCTTATCTAGTGTAAGGGTATTACGGGTAATGTAGAGTGAAGAATGTTGGTGGAGTTCCGAATGCCATCTGCTTTGTCCATCATTGAATGGGATAGAGGTGTAGGACCAGATCAACGCCTGCGCAACAAGATCTAAGCGATATCTATGAGGCGAAAAGTACTCCGAAATGTCACATTATGTGAAAACGCTGAGCAGATGAAGAGTTTACTCGTTTTGTTGATTCTTCATGTACCTGTGGTTGGTGAACACAACTGATAGAGGCTTGTAAGATATGTTGCTGTCGTTGTCCTATAAAAATTCAGTGGTGGGATTATTGTAGACGGGTGATACTTGGTCATATCTTCTTATAGAACTAGGTAAAAGTCCTAGAAGTCGGGGGTAAGAGAGGAGGTCACAGCATAAAAATAGACAAGTGAGGATAAGAATAGTAAGGAAGTGCAAAGTTCAAGGTGAAGATATGGTGCCCATGGTGGTATGTTCCAGATAGGCTTCACTGAACGGTGCACGCGACAAGGGCACATCTTCAATAGAGACTCCGTGGTATTTGACCTTGAAGTGCAGTGTGGCTGAGTGCTGAATAGCGAAACTTGCTCAGTAGAGAACCCAGATATGTAAAAAGCAGTGCCGAAATCCAGTCAATTACCTGTATTGACTAGAACTATAAAGTGACATAGGTTCGTAAGCACATAGATGTACATAAACAGCACAAGTTATACTCTGGACACATGCACCTCACACACAGCACTAACATATCTTTTGTATCAGTCGTTTCCCAGCAGTTGTTGTCGCTTAAGCGAATCTGCAACTGGTGGATAACGGTTTTGGCTGCGTGCTTAAACGGCAAATGCGAAAGTTAGGGCAGAGATGCCTCACCATGCGCAGCGAACCAGAATGTGAACAAGTGTGTCGCTAGGCCATGAGCCTTTCTCAACCCTATGAACACATTTGCTCCCGTCTACAGATATTATATAGAAGTTGCCTCATCTTATTTCCTCTGTGGGAGCCTAGTATATAGCGCATCCAGAAAGCGCTAAACCAACCACTGCTAACTTCTTTCCTGCAGAGGGATGCATTCTAGATGCTTTTTTCGTAAACATATGCGTCCTCTTGAAATGATGCACAGCAAGAGGAATTCCCCAATAAGTTTTCAATGCATTTATCTCACGAACCCTGAGGGCTGCAGAGAGATTCCGGACAGATTCCAGGTAGAAGTATTCCTCGTACTGAAGCTGCTCTTAAATTTGCAAACAGTTGCGTTTGAAGAGATCTACCATCGTTAAAAGCAGGAAAACTCGCGTATGATTTTGAAAATCCCAACGAATCTCCAACTCTGCATTTTTCTTGAAATCCAACAATGTTTATGTACAGTTTGGCATTCATACTTTGGGTTTTTCTTCTAAACTACATTCTCTTTTTCTCAAACCATTTTCTTTTGAGAAAGTTATGGTTTTTTCAAAAAGCTTGCTTCACTTAAGGGTGTATGGACGAACTCGTCCCAACTCTAATTGAAAGATGCAGACCTACGAATTTGAGATGAAGCGCAATATCTCGTGCACTTGTCCTGTGTTACCTGGAAATACCACCAGTCACACTTGCAACTGCATACTGGAGCTGCCTATCGTAACTACACTCCTAGTTTTATTGGGAAGATCCATGCTAGCAGTGGTAGCAATTCATTTAATGCTTTACTCATGGTCAGAGTGCACACTGGAATTAGACTGTTTACCTTGTAGTACAACCACTCCCCCACTCTGTGGCATTAGTTTTTTGTTTTTTTAGCTAGTTTAAGCATTTCATCAGAATTCGTATTGAAGGGCAAATTTAACTACTAATTAATTAATTATTTTCAACTACTTAACTACTTAACATACCCCTTAGGTATTTTAATCTTTTGGACAGAAACCTGACATTCTGGGCAAAAACGCTGTAAGGCACCGAAACCAAAGCCGGAGAGAACGGATGGCGCTAGCGGCTGTAAGGCTGGCTATAGCCAGATGATCGGAGGAACGAGACTTTGAAGTGACTTGGGCGCAGTGCCTGGCATTTTAGCCCCGGTCGCATCTATATGTCGTGTTCAGGGGTCAGTATCAGCTGAGGGAAAAGTTCCTGACCAAATCAAGATGTGGACGTGAATTGAGTGAGATAGAAATCAAGAATGAGTAAGTTGTATGGAAATGTGTTTTCTGAATTCAGGCCGGAACAGTGATGTTTATCTGTTCCAGAAGCTTCACTTTCGAAGGTATCATCCGTCTAGTGGTTAAAACCAGAAATCTTGCATTTTAGATGGCTAGGGTAGGACAATCTTCTCATGATTTACAGCTACAAGCTTGGCCATTCCGCTATTGTATTGTCAGTACAACAGCAGACATGCCATTTCTGGTAAAACTGAAGTGTATTTCGCAAATATGGAAGACAGGAGTGTACGCAGATTACGTCTGCTGCAGACAATGCTTTACGCCTAGCATGAAGCATACTTTTGATGATTTCTTCCTTACAACTGACTATGTTTCGAGATACCTTCAGCTAAAGTACCGAAGTTGTAAGCTGGATAAATTACCAAGTGCTGAGGATTGCCACGGATGAGAAGAGATGAAGCAAAACTCTGGAAATTTCTAGATCGAATTAATTATATGTTGTTTGCTGCATACCTTTACTAAAGGCAAGAACTTGTCTGGGTTGATGCATTGTCACACTTTTGACTATAGATTCTGTTATTAATCTCAACAATAAGTGAGAACTGATGGTGAGCACTAGTGTTCTCAACAAAAGTGCTTGAGAACCGATGTATCTAAACTTGTAAGGTTTTTTCCCCCCACGTCTACTAATTTCGCTGATAATTTTTAGGTGAATTTTGGAGTATTTGCATCTAATTGCGAGTGTGATAGAAAGGTCTCGAGAAGCAAAAAGGAAATCACAGCATTAGTTTTCTTCTTATCTTTCGGAAAAAATGCTCTAAAACGAAATTCTTTTTAACGCAACCAAAAGGCGGGAAGACAACAAATCGTACAAGGGAGGATCTCGCCGACTCTCTCAGTAAAAGGGGAGCGGGATGGTCAAGTGGGAGGGTCGCATGGACTCGATCAAAATCATCAACGCATGTTGTGCGCGGCGCAATAGCGTACGTTAATCAAACTGGTGTGACCATAATGTACGTTCCATCCGTGTCAGCATTGACGATTTCATAGGTTTCTGGAGCAGCATAGGGGTTAAGCCTCGAATACTAAACTCCGGTACCCTTTTCGTTCCACGGATGTATGGGAAAGGTTCAAGACTGACTTGAACAACCGAGATTACCAACAGCGTCTATACATACAAAAGTAGACTGCGCTTTTACTCCCAATAGCGTCTACAGTCAGGGAAGAAGACTTAGAATTTTATCCTTTAACATTTAACCTTCTCGCCTTCATCCCACACAAGGGAGCTGTTCTGATCTGATCACACCACTTCTCTCCACCGAATACGAGATCGACATGGGCGTCAGCTACGGAAATATGATTTGTGTGGCCTATCTCGATGATGGCTCACGTAGTGGCTGCGTGTCGCATGCCAAAGTGATCAATGCATAAAACTATTTGCCTCAATGTGATGATCATTTAGTTCAGTATCCCTTTACCATTCGTCTATAACTTTGTATTTTAGCTGTGCATCAAAAGACTGAAGATCTACATCCCCGACAAATACATCACAAAAGGAAGTCATCCAGACGAAACGTACGACGCAGGAACTTTGCATCTGGATAAGAAAGTCAAAGGTCAAAAAACTGTATGTAAGTGAACGAGATAAAGAAATAATTGGGTTGCCGACAAATTTGCTCGTCACAAATAAAGCATTTACCGATTTTTGTTGCACACATTCACATGGGAGAGTGTCTGACAGAAGAAGGAGAATCACCCGTTGGGATTGCTCACAAATCAGCATTGCACTGCAGCAAACGGTGATTGTTCGAAAGATTGACGTAGTTCAATATAAATATTCGTAACTAGCTTTCAAGACTCCAACGATGTACCTAGGACTCCTCTCGAAGTTTATGGGAAATTGAAACGATTCTCTTGCAAGATCCCTTAAGGACAGTTGAGCATCCATTTCATGCTCCTCGCTCGGTGGCGTCGCTTTTGATGGGGAGGCGGAATCTGGAGGCAAAGCCACTGGATAAAGGGAGATGTCACTGGAGAACTCTGCGCCCCAACTATTACTTTACAGCTTTCCTCCACGAGACTGGCCAAAGATTGTCTATTGCAAACCACGCTACCTTAAAGACACATGGTACGCTCAAACACATTGAGGGTGTATGAGACTATCAGCCCCCCAGCTGTCGATGTGTCGTGGTCCCCCCGCCCAAAACTGCACGGGGTCAGAGTACGGGAAGTCGTAATTCCTTGCTACACCGCCCTCACGTTTATGCTAACACCATCCGCGCGGCGCGGTCGTGCAGCTTTTGCCAAGTCCTGTAATTGCGCTTTGGAATACAAGTACAACGCAATTTCTTTATGCGGATAACATTTTAGGTGCTGCAAAATAAGAACCGAAGATGATGACGAGGGCTAGAACTCAAGAGCAACTGTGCTGCTTCTGCAATATCCCTCAGAGGCCGCGCATTCCCACAGAACATGACAATAAAAACGGACAACATGACAATAAAACATGACAATACAAGCAAAACGCAATTTCCTAACATTTGAGGTTGCTCATGCTTCAAAGTCCGAATAGAAGGTGATGAAGATGACAAAGGCTAGAAATGAACAACAACGAATGTAGATGTAAATAAAACAAAATTGAAAAAACTAAGGAAACGCAATAAATTAAATGTGCATTTCTGCGATCCGGCTCGAATCCGGCTCTAATGCTATAGAAATACTTCAAACTAACGAGTGGGACGCTTAGGCCGTTTTTATTTGATGTTTTGTGGGAATGCGCGGCCTGCGAGGGCTGTTGCAGAAGCAGCACAGTTGAGTTCTAGCCCTCGTCATCATCTTCAGTTCTTATTTTGCAGCACCTAAAATGTTATCCGCATAAAGAAATTGCGTTGTACTTGTATTCCAAAGCGCAATTACAGGACTTGGCAAAAAGCCAAGAGAGCTGCACGCGACCGCGCCGCGCGGACGGTGTTAGTAAAAACGTGAGTTTGCAAAAACGGGCGGCGTAGCAAGGAATTACGACTTTCCCACGGTCCCGTACTCTGACCCCGTGCAGTTTTGGGCGGGGGGACCACGACACATCGACAGCTGGGGGCTGATAGTCTCATACACCCTCAATGTGTTTGAGCGTACCATGTGTCTTTAACCACACAATCGTTTGCATTTTCATAGCCCATCGCGGGTTGAGGTAAAGAGTACAAAATGTTGATCCTGGAGAGGTCAATAATATTAACTCTGCTCACAGAAGTGGGTGAGTGGAATCAAGTCGTCGTATATTGGGTTTTAGGGATTATAGGCTGCGTTTATACTTTGCGGCAGCGTAGCGTAGCGCTTCCAGCGTACGCTAGATCGATATCCTTTGCGAGGCAGTGTCGGGCAAAGGATAGATATCGATCTAGCGTACGCTGGTGACGCTGGGAACGCTAGATCGATATCTATCCTTTCCCCGACACTGCCGCTGGCGTACGCTGGAAGCGCTACGCTACGCTGCCGCAAAGTATAAACGCAGCCTAGTGAACTTACCCAGGAGAAACGTTCCTATCTCACTCCTTGATTGAAAATTGCGTTTAACGTTGAGGAATAATATTAGGATGTCTATAAGCATAATGAAGGTTGAGCCCATCTTGCCTCACAATCATTGTTGGTCTAGAGAACCAATACCTGCCGGCCGACAATTTGACTTACTTCCGAAGTACACGGAAGCAGAACACCATATCGGAAGGGATTCGCCTATACTGTGAAGAACGCAATCAAAAGAATGTCAGACGAGATCGCTATTCTTCTGAGGGGGCATTTTGCTAGCTCATGTTGAACAGTAATCTTCTGTGAAGATGCGAAATATGCGATGGTAAAAATAGAAATGAAAGTGGTACCATTTTGTTTAGCACATTCAAGATTACTTCTATTAGTGGCCTGTACAAGTTTACCCTTTGGTCTTTCGACCTGGCACCACCAAGCCGATTTGTGCCCGAAAAAGTATCGCTTTACTCAGGAATTCGTCGTCGTACTAGCCTGACATGAAACTAGACAACTTGAACAGAACTAACACCAAATACATACTTGTTAAAAACTGTTATGCGTCCAAACCCTTCATGCGACCGACGAAGATGAGACCTACACAAAACTGAAGCGCTACAAGTTTCGCTATTTTTGCTAAATCATATTTGACTAGAAAGTTCCGTTTTCGCATAAAACCACCTGCTATACTCAATCAATAAAAAGGAGTTTGTCATTTCCCTAGAATCAAGGGGCTTGAACGTAGCCTTTAAGGCACTCAGGGCGTTCAAAAATAGGAACGAAAACTATGAGGGGAAAGGTAGTGCAGGTCGCATCGCATTGAAGAAGCACCAGTTTCATGCCAGAAAAACTGTAAGGTATGGGTTTAAATCGCAACGCTAGTCGAGTGCCTGTACACGTGATCGCGCTTATGATGGTGTATGTGTGGTCCCGCTCGTTTGAGTGCTGCTTCATCCCTCATTGCTTAGTCTCGCACGAAGAATCCCAGCGAATTTTCGTTTAACGCTTGGGATCTAATGCAGCATGGAGGACCCTGTTTTCTTGAAGACTGACGAGATTACTCGGTTTTTTGACCATGTGACTTTCACTTTTGTTTTTGAACCAAGCCTGCCTGCGGCGTTTTGGATGACTTCCAGAAGTTGCTCAGTAGGACGAAACTCTGAGTGAGCCAGCCGATTCCCCTGTGCGTTAGGTGCTCTCATTTCGCAAAAAATACACCTAATGTCTACCCTACCCGACTTCTCCATATTGAACGAGGAATTGTTCAGTGTCCGCTCCTAAAAAACAAGTCCCGCTATGGCATACCGTGGGTAGCGGTGTTTAGTTGTGCTCCTTAAACGACCCATTGACAACGAAATCGAGAACACCCATTACAGAACACGGCACTCCCAATAAAAGAGTTTTCCGATCCGCTCGCAAATTGGTAGCCTGCTAGCTTCGTACAACCCTCGACTATACGAATGACTTTACAAAACTACGACATTTGTAACAGTGCCGTTGTTGTGTCTCCTTTGTGATTGACAGAATGAACTTCGCCCCAGTCGTTTATGTCATAAACGACGCTTCAAGCCCTTCTTCAGGTCTACGAACATCACATTCAAAAAACTACAGCAGCATCGTCTACCTTTACAAACATAAGCAAGAATTCGGATGAGGGAAACAGTCAACAAAAATGACCGCCTTCCTACGGGAAGAGGGCCTGGGTGGGGAGGGGGGATCCGGGAGTATGCAGCAAGATGGTCTATGATGATGTGAGAATTAGTAATTCGCAACACCGACTCATCTCCCCAGCTGTCCTTTCATTCGGAAATGGCACAACTAGATTGGAGAAGCAGTGGTAAGATGGTGGTATTAGGTTGTCCAGAGAGTTTTGAGAAATTTTCACACTTTTGTTCAAAGAAGTGTAGCAAGCGAATACCTCAAGGGGACGTCGTATATCAAGTGCTATGAGAAAAAATGTTTGTAGATCAATACTAATGCTGGTTGTTATTATTCTCCATTGTTGGTATGATTTGACATTACCTGAAAAATGTACGAGCGCGCACGACTCCCAACGCCTTTTACTTCATCTTCACCGTTCTGGCTCCTCTATCGGTCAAATCGGGAATGAGGAACCGCCTCAAATGCTGAGCAGAATGCGCCTTGAAATTGTCTATACTAGGAGGTAAATCAGAATCTTCTATGGAATTTAGCTTGAATGCTGCGTACGCCCCCTCATTCTCAGTACTCACTTACTAGGGAAGGTCGTCAGGTCGAAGTGGCCATTTGTGATGAGATGTAGATCACTAGACGTGGTTTTGGACGCTGATCTTGAATCTGCCTTCAAAATTTGCAAAGCGATTCTCTGAACGGAGTTATGGAGCCGCGTTTACCACGCAACAGGTCATGGGATCGGATCCCTGCTGAGCTTAACTTTTTTGCTTGTTGCGCAAACGTGGCAAAAAGTGATTTTGCCGTCACTACTACTTCAGTTCTCACCTGAGCTTGTCTGAAGAAAAGTTTGCCTCCATTTATTACTGCGCTTGGACTCCTTGTAGACTACAGTGCACTACAGTGCTTCTACAAGGAGTCCAAGCGCAGTAATAAATGGAGGCAAACTTTTCTTCAGACAAGCTCAGGTGAGAACTGAAGTAGTAGTGACGGCAAAATCACTTTTTGCCACGTTTGCGCAACAAGCAAAAAAGTTAAGCTCAGCAGGGATCCGATCCCATGTTGCGTGGTAAACGCGGCTCCATAACTCCGTTCAGAGAATCGCTTTGCAAATTTTGAAGGCAGATTCAAGATCAGCGTCCAAAACCACGTCTAGTGATCTACATCTCATCACAAATGGCCACTTCGACCTGACGACCTTCCCTAGTTAGTTCTAGCTCCCACGCAAAGTGATCCCCCCAAAAGGTAAGGGAAATCGGAGAGACAACATTTATTATAAACATGAACTACTATCTCTTATTATTGTTGATAAGTGATTAAATGAGCTGGTTGAAATTCAAAACTTTCCGGACAGTCTAATATTTGATAACTGCTATTTGTCGTATGTATAACATATCACCAGTTATGTCAGTGCAGCAATGATCTCCATTGTCCCTCTTAGCTCCTCCCTGTTGTTGATCAATGGATTTCTTC